TTTGAGTACATGATGAATATACCGGAGAATTTTTGGGTATCAGAACTCAATGCTACATCCTCTATCCATAAATCTGTAGCCCAGGCTAGTTTGTTAGCCTGATGTATGTGCACATAGTCCTTGAACTAATTTTAACAGAAATCAATTTATAACTCAAATTCTCCAAACTGCAGTATGAAAAAAGATTATAATGTTCAGCAGACTGCTTGACAAAAAGCTTATTTTGGTTATAATTCCCTGAAGTAGAAAAAAAGATATTTGCCTTGAAGCTTTGTTTGTCCATTAATCCTATAGACATATATTTCTTCATCAGCATCTAGTGAACAGACGAAGGAGCAAGTTTTGACTTCCATGTGAAACCTGAACGTAAAAGAAAAGACAAAGAAAGGTTAAATAAACAAAACATTATAAATGGTGTCTGAAGGGCACACGTGCCTGAACACTCGGTTCATCCACTCGCTGCTAATATAGGCAGGAAAATATTGCTTTTCATAATTTGACATAACTTCTCATTTCCTGCTGCCTCCCAACATCAATCTCTTGTGTGTATCTCTCCCTAGATCAGTACTCCTTTAGAAATATCAAACCTGGCTACCCTGAATTCCCAATGGAAAGTTATTAGAGGAACATACAAACAGTTCATTATTTATTAATCTACCTTCTCTCTTCCCAACAATCTTTTCTGTTATCCCATTTTCTATAATGAGAGTTCCTAGGGTTTGTTTCATTGTCAAGGCAGGATGCAGCCTTTTGGAAATAGGCTGCATTGAGACTAGGGCTGTGTCTACACCAAGCAGGTTACTCTAGTGCAGGAGTTCTCATACTCAGGCCCGGGAGCCGAATACAGCCCTCCAAGGTCATTTACCCGGCCCTCGCTCAGGGTCAACCTAAGTCTGAAACGACTTGAAAGCACACACAATAACAACAGTCCTATCTCATCAGCCAAAATGAGGCCCACACTTCCCATTGAAATTCTAATAAGTTTATATTTGTTAAAATTGTTCTTCATTTTAATTATTGTATTGTTTTAAGTGTTTTTTGCACTACAAATAAGATATGTGCAGTGTGCATAGGAATTCATTCATGGTTTTTTTTTTCAAATTATAATCCGGCCCTCTAACAGTTTGAGGGACTGTGACCTGGCTCTCTGTTTAAAAAGTTTGAGGACCCCTGCTCAAGTGTATATTTGCCCTGGAGCAGTCTCAGATCCAGCAAATACCTGTTGAATCATGGGCCATGGTCAGACACTCTAGCCAATATCTAGCTGGGCTGTCCCATTTTGTCTGTGTCATCCCTACCACTTTTTGATTACTATGAAGCACCTGGCCACCACCAATTGAGTGCTGATGTCAGAATGGGGAGCCTACATGATCAGGAATGCTGGACAAGAGTACACCAGCTGATACAACCAGGGTGGCCAGGGACTTGCAGCATGCTCTGTGGTCTACAGGGAATAGTGGCAGCAACATGGGAAAGAACCACCTATTTCCCTCCACTGATCACAGCACAGAGAAAGGGTGGTGGTCGTAGTGTCCATTGAGCCAAAATGGACCTGATTTGGCTGCTCAGTCTGCCATGAAACCTAGGACACTCAGAGTTTCTTGCAAACTCTGGGATATTCCTGAACTTTGCCTAAAGCAGAGTAAGATCAAATTATAGACAGAAAATCCCAGTCCCTGTGTATTGTGGAGACAGGCATTGATGAACAGCATTTTGGCAGGTCCTGAGATCTAGAGATGATCCCTTGCAATATCATCTGAGCAAGGTAAATTAGCAAAATGATTTTGTGATAAACATTCCAATCCCAAGCGATCACAACAACTAAGGATTAGGCCTGGGTAACAACGGAAAAATTTGTTTCTAAAATCAATTTGTATTTGGGGTTTTTTTTGTTTCGATATTTAAAATAATTACAAAATTTTCCTTTTAAAAAGTTCGATATTTACGAAATTTCGTAAATGGTAAAAAATTAACGAATCGATTTCCGAAACAATAACGAATCGATTCGTTAATGGCGGACTCGACCGCGAAATACGCTAAAAAACCTCCAAAACCTTCTGAAGCTTCCCTCTCCCTCTGTTGTTGACTGTTGGTGTGATATTATATTTTTTTTTCACTAATTAAACCATAAAACTGGCCCAGACATGCGGAAATAATAACGAAACGACCTCAAAACAATAACGAAACGAATACAATATCGAAATACGAAGCATTTACAAAACGTTTTTGAAAAATTCGTTTTTTTAAATAATTGCTCCAGAATGGTTCATTATCGTTTTGTAATTGAAAAAAATAACGAATTATTAACGAATTACAAATTAACGAAACGAAACCGCCCAGCCCTACTAAGGATGTATCAACTCTTAACCACTTAATCAGGTAAACTACTCCATGGGTGCCCTGATACAACCCAGTAGTCTTCAGATGGCTGTCTGGATTGAGAGTGCATTGGAATCACCACTGCAGTCACTTCATCACTAGGTACAAGGAACTTTTTGGCAGAATCTTGCAAGCATCATCACCTTTTCCTGGGTACAAGACTGGGCGCCATGATGTGACCTCACCCAGAAATGATGTTGTCCGCATGCCTCTGTGAGAGACATACTAATACAATGGTGTGTCTGTTGGACATATGGACAGTTATCCACACCTCCAAATTTCCAGGATCACTCTGGAACTTCCATTGTAAATCTTGATTCCCTTTGAACCAAATAAACAGATGGATACAGTGCTTCTGCTGTGAGTCCAGTTATGTCCATGTGAATTTCCCACAGCATCTGAGAGGTGCACTCATATTTTACCCATTAAGCAAAGCCAAAGTAGGAATTAGTGTAATGTAGCACAGTGAATTACACAGTATACTAATTAAATAGTATATACAGTCAGCCCTCTATATCCATGGTTTCTGTATCTATGGATTCAACCAACCATGGCTCCTAAATATTTGGGGGAAAACATTTCCAAAAAGCAAATCTTGTTCTTGCTGCGTGTCAAGCACTATGCTGATGTTAGGCATACCCTGCTGTAGCCTCTTGCCATTAATCAAATCTCCAGGCTCCCTCCAGCACTCATTTATATAAGGGACTTCGTTTTTCCATAACTCTGTATATATTGCAAGTTGAGCAATCAAAGATTTTTGTTATTACTGTTATGTGCCTTCAAGTGAATCTGATTTATGGCAGCCTTCTTCTGTGGGTGGTTTATCATTACTTACCTCTGAGGCTGTGACTTGTGCAAGATCACCCAGTAGATTTTGATAGCTGAACGGAAATTCAAATGTAGGCCTACTGGCCCAAAACTTAAACCATACACTACACTCTTTCCCTGTATGTTTGTATGTTTGTCTATAGATTAACATTGTACATTTATGAACATTGTTTTAATACAGACTGGTGGTGAAACCACATGGGACATATTTAGATTTTTTTCTTATATAGTAATTTTAATATCAAATTTGAACATGGTTGAATGTCATGGCTTGGATTTTGCTTTTCATTACCTAGGATGTTATTTTGGAATTTAGTTGAAGTTGTAACTAGGAAATGGGGGAAAATAAACAAATAATGGTATTCTCAGGTAAGAGCAGCAAATTAAGGACAAATGCAGGTACAAGAACTCACAATTTGAAATGAGGGTTGTGATTTCCCAGTTTGATCTGAAGGATTAAATTATTTCCCAGTGCTGCAGCTCTGCTTTGTATTGCTGAGTTCTAGGTACAATTCTCCTTTTTGAAAATATGGAAAGATGCTTAGTAATCTCACACCTCTGACACTAGATCAAAAGTAACTTTGTCCTCCCTTGCCACATGTGCATGAAAGAGTAGTGGGTTTCATATAAAGACATGAACTTCAACATGCTGAGCAGTCCCATAGTCTCCTCTCCCTCTCTAAGAAATCTTTTCAGTATTTTTATCACACTCTAATTGATCATGAACACATTTTGACCACTTCTTGGTATACTTCAATTTGTTGCTTTTGCTATTTACCACTCTACTGTCTTATAATTGGAAAATGGGCACTCAAGTGAATCATTGGTGGCTCTGTGATCTTCCTGAAGCATCAGCTGTTGAAAGAGCCCAGTCCCCATACCTCTCATTGCTGACAGGATCTAGAAAAAAAAAGATCCTTTGTCTCAAGAGGCATATGGATCTTAATAATGCTAACCAGCACTCTTCAGTGAATAACAGAGAGTGATGAACCAGATTGCAAAGGCTGTCATGATTGGGAGCTGGAAAGTCATTGTCTGATACCAAGGTTGTCTTGATCACAGGTCCCATTTGCTGTCTTATTGCTGAGTTGGATTTAAGAAAGTTGTTATCTTTACTCTCCAATATTGTTGTCTGGCATCCTTATTCATTGAAGAAGGGCAATGAAACTCCCCACAACTCCTGATGTACAATGGGTGCTTGGTTTCAACTGGGGTATGGTTCCAGGATACAAAAATTAATGAATGCTCATATTCCACAGTGTAGTAAAATGTTGTGTCTTACATAAAATGGCAGAATTGGGATTTGCTGTTTGGATAAATTTATTTTTTATCTTTTGGAATATTTTCAGACTATGGATGGTTGAATCCATAGATATGGAAGGCCAACAGCACCATAATTTTGTATCATGAGACAGTCATTAAAATATATTCTGTGCAGTATTTTTAATTAAAAATCATGAGAAAAGTTGGTTGTTCACCTTCAGCAACATTGATGTCAACATTGAAAGACATAACCGTGTTTGTCTTGAACAATATGCAAAGGGATCTTGGAGCACCTTTGAGACATTATCTTTGTTGATGCTGTTTGATTTGTGCATTGGGAAATGGATCTTTTTGACCATTTTGATTCATGAAATGAATATTGAATGCTTTGGTCAATAGTTTCGCTTTCCAGTTTTAGTAGGTACAATGTTGGGTGGTTTTTCGCCCAGGCTTTATGATCACATCATCATGGAGGAATATCTTCTCCATAAATTATGACTCACCAGCCTTCTCCTCTTTCTTCTCTGCAGGGAAAGGAGCACTAGGCAACATGTACGCCAGCCATCACAAATGTACTACCAGATGCTTTGAAAACCAGGGTTTAATTGGAAAGGAGGGAAGTGCAGATCTGCCCACATTATTCTTTTCTGTGCCAGGGATCACAGACGTTTTGAGTTAAAGCAAGAAAGAGCCAGAAGGGGGGAAATGCGCAGATGCCTAATTCTCTGCAGGATTTATATTATTATACGGTAAGCATTTGCACTCTATACAATAAAAAACCAAGTTGGCTTTTACTTACATAGAAAGGAAACACAACAAAACCAAAAAATCGCAGGCTTGATAGTAATTACAGTGCATAGACATTTATTTTATCCTTTTACTAGCAGGACCAATTGTGATTTTTATGCTCCGAGAAAGCTCACTCTTAAATTTTATGTCTTCTACTGCCTTGCCAAATCTAAGCTGAATGCTGTTGCATTAAATGGATGGCAAAAAGGTGTTTCTAAAATGCCATCCTGGAAGGAGAGGGTTCTGGAAATACTGGCTAATCAGACGTGGGAAGAAGGCAATATGGGCGGGTTTAGAAACTCTCAATTGAATTTTATTTTTTCTCACATACCACTTCATCACATGGAAGTTGGGAAGCATCCTAGCATGGTGCTGAGATGCTTCCTCAACAGAGCCCGATGGACACCATTACATGGCATAAAGCTACTTCTGATGGGGCTTTGTAAGTGAAACATCCAGGCAGATTGTTAGGGTGCTTCCCTGAGAAAACAGGAGGCTTCCCACATCCCAAAGCAGCTCCCAATCATGATGGATACTGATAGCTGTACTCTAAATTACTTCCAAATTGCTATTGGGAGTTTTGAACTGAAATGACAATTTCAAGGCAACCATCCACTTATTTTGGTCAACAAGCCAAGGGCAGCATTCTTAAAACAAACAAAACTTTTTTTATTCCTACCAATTGCTTTATTAACTCAACATTTTTGATGGACCTGGTGGTTTATAAAGGGTTGTAAATGAATTAAAGCAATAAAGATTCCCATGACTCAATAAAAACCAAAGCATTTAGTCCAGCATGAACTTTTTTAGACTATTGTCCGTTTCATAAGATTAATGAAGTATTATTCCAATGGTCAATACATAGAGTTGGGGACATATGGATTGTAGATGGGGCTTGTCGTATTGGAAGGGGCCCTTAAACTGCTCATCCATAGAAGCCTTCCCCCCCCCCCCCCCAAGCTACAAACCCCAGAATTCTCCAGGAGGCAGTCACAGCATTTAAAGTGTATTGACGTGGAAAAATGCTCAAGTGTGATGAGGTCAGTCCTGTGTTCAGTTGCTCCCACTTAAATGCATCAGTTGAATTTATGGAACCACTTGAATTACCAACTTCCCATGGATCCAATAGGTCTTGTTTAGATGAGATGATTAATTGGACTGAAGATACTGAGGCCAGGGGAAAATTAAATGCAACAGGGACTAACAAAGATAATTACCATATTAACACTGATGGTTCACAGAACAGTTACTGACAACCCAAGCATTTTAGTATTTGGTGAGCCAGTATGCACATGTAGTGGCAAAGTAGATCATATGCTTAGCATGCATTTCACAAAGGTTCCTCTTGATAAGTTCAAAATTTTTGTATACCACATCAACAAGTATGTGGCAAGAATGATATGTTGGGAAAACCAATCAAAATGGTCAGCCCCCATAGTGAGGTGGGGTAGGGGTCTATCGTGAAATCTTTTACAAGCATTGCAATATCATGTGCACAAAATTACACCAGCATTCAAAGTGCTGTGAGGAAATGATTCATTAACGGTGAGGAAAGTTCTTTAAATATTCAAGTGACTTCTCAGATATGTGAGTGGCAACCTTTGCATACAGATGTTTAAGCCAATCTATCCATAAGGGAGGATAACATTGAAAGTAAAAACAATCTTCTTCATCATTTTAAATTAAAAGCAATTATCTATCACCATACGAATGTTCCTCATTAAGGAGCCAGTTTAGACTCATCTTTCTTCATAGTTGTGCAAGCAGATACCTGATTAAACTGTAAAATTAGCATATCTTGTTGGTGCAAATGAGCATCTCTTCAGCACCTAATATTGTCCAAGATTATCTTGAATCTCATCAAATTTACTCAGGAATGGGACGGTGCCAAGGCATTTTGATGCCTTGGGTGAAGGACACAATAGTTCTCCTCATCCCATTTACACATACTGACCAGATTGGCAGATTGGATGATTCAACACTAGTGATGGGACATGTTCTTCATGACATCTGATGGCTGTAGTTAAACTTAGCAGGCCCAGGAAAGTTGCATTTTGTCCTCCTAAATCCTAGCAGCTGATTCCTGCCTCTAGCATCTGCTGCTTAAGGTGTCCACCTCTGTTTGTCTAACAATATGGGTAGAAGTAACTGTGAGGTCAAGTGTATTTTAGTCAAGTGAGGTCTCCTAAGCAACTGTTAAGTTTCCAAACAATCTCAATTAAGTTAACTTGACATGTTTTGCAGATTCTTCTATAAGTTCATTAAAGCCTCCAGCCATCTTTACTTGGAATAAGCCACCAGATGTGGACTTTCAAAACCCCTCAGCATTATTTCATCTCAATGTCTGCTAAATTCAGAAGAACCTCTGAGGATATGTTGATTCCAAAGATCTTTGAAATGAAGTATCGTGCTCCTAAAGATTTTTTAAAAAATCAGTTCCAGTGTGCATTACGTGAAAGACAAAAATAATTTGTGTTTCTTAAGCAAAGAACAATGAAACTACTAGTACCAGGCTCTGCTTGAAGATTTGAATGCCAGGATATATTGAACAAGAGTCCATATTAATCCAGTCCTGGCAGATGATGGGGAAGGTTTTATATACTTGCCTGCATTAAATGTCACTTTAGCCCAATGGGTTTTGAAATCTCCATACCAAACAGGTTTGGTAGTTGCTTCTGAAGAATAATGAACCAGTTCCCAGGGTTACAAATCATACCCTCACATGATCACCAACCTATAAGTTAGGGTGTGGTATTCTTCCCACATACACACCCAGTGCGTTGAACTTCACACTCCTTAATGAGATGAGGAAGTAACAAAAAAAGCTTAAGCAGGGATAATTGCTGAGGAAATATATGTCCAAACAGAAGGTTGGATATTGCCTAAAGACAGCTGGGTGAATTTTACAGATGCCAGAAAAGCTTAAGAGTTTGGTTCATAGCGCATTCCCTAATAGGATTAGCATACTATCATCTATATTACAGCATCCTTGCAGGTCAAACAAAGGTCATACAAATTTGGAAATAGGCCTCAAATTGCTGGGCTAAGCTTGGACATGCCCCCATGGTAAAGTTGCTTCAATCTCATAGAATCCCAGCACAAACTGACTGGGCTTACACCTACACAGAGTCATGAATGGACTGGAAAAATGACTACTACCTGTGCCAGTTTTCCTTGAATGATGTGACATAGATTTCAGCTCAGAAAACATATCAAAAGTCAATATATGAGTTGAGAGAAAATGAGTTCAGAAACATACATGATGAAATAAAAGATTTAAAAATTCTACCTAGATGCATATTTCAATGTTACAATTCATACAGAATCCAATGAGTGAATGCAGAAATGAGACAAGAAATCTATGTGACTAAATGGGAAAAGGACATGAACTTGAAATATACTTGTTTGCCTATTCATAATCCCAGGTTGTTGCAATTGATAAAATTAAGATGTACATAACAGACTGGAACATTACTTTTTTGCACAACTTTCAGAATCCCCCAGCCAGCCTTTTAGGATTTGCTGCCTCCAAACATAATTCTTCTAAGCTGGGATATAAGCAAAGGGAGCACTGCACTTTCATCCCATGCTCTTGTTTCTTGACTACAATTTGCACTATCCCATTCCCTTGTCTTGTTTACAGTTTGGCCATGTCTTACAGCACTTGTCACCATAGGTTATTGGGCATAAAATTGTTGTTTTATATGTTACTGGTTTTCTATTTTTTATTGTATTGTGTATTTATTATCTGCACTGTTTTGGGCACTTTGTGTCACGTGTAAGCTGCCCTAAGTCCCTTTGGGGAGATGGAGGTGGGTCACAAAAATAAAGTTGTTGTTGTTGTTGTTAGCAGATAAGAATAGTTGGAGATCTTGTGTGCTATATCTTGGAAGGGAGCATTACTGATATAGTTTCAGATGTCAGTACCTGGCCTCGAGTTTCAGAATGTGGACCTTCTTTTCTGGCCCTCAGGGCACATGGGAGGAACCAGACATTCCAAATAAGGCCCAAAATCCACAGGGATATGTTCCTGCTTGAACTGTGGTTTCCTGAAACCATGGATAGTATTAAATTCCTAACTTCTAGTCCCAGCATAACATAGAATTGCCCTGAAGGTCCAATAAATTCCTAGAGAGGTATTGCGATAACTTTTGGGAGATTCAGAGCAACTTTGGCTAATGTTTATGTTTTAGGTGTCACACTTAATGATATAAGCAGAGGCTGCACCTTGAAGCTTCACTTTCTTAAACTCTCCAGAACCTGCCCCTTTGGGTATCATACGAGGTCATTCTTCAGATTGAGGTTTTGGCTATGAATTTCAATCCCTTGCATAATCTTGTCCTAACAACCCTAAGTTCACTGATGATTTGTCAATCAGATATGGTGGGGATCTATGCTTTTACTAGCCAAGGTAGTAAGAAACATTTGATCATCATCATGCCATAGGAGTGGTTGCTAATTCATTACCCATGCCATCTGGACCACTGAAAGCAGTGGGCCACACTTGTGCTGGGTATTCCTGGTCAGAAGTCACACATCTTTATGTTGCTGATTTAGTAACCTCATTCTTTTTGCACATGCACACATACACAAAAGCACACTTACATTCAACAAGAAAGCAATTGTGCATCTAGTGATGGATGGAAACAAATGCAACATGGCATTGTGGTAAATATCAGCAGGTGGTGCTATTGCACACATACTGTTTCATATTATTTTTTCCATGAGTGCTTGTTACACACATCATGATGGAAAGTGCCACCTTCAGTTAATGCAGGTTCTCTCCTGGCATTGCAACAGTATGGCCATATGTTCCCATGAGTTCTTTCCCACATTTGTTAGCTGCGTAATCCAAGCATGGATTTGCTCAGCTTCTGCTGTTTCATTTCCGTCAACATTTGCCAGATGCATTGAAACAATCAAAGTTGACTAAATTGCTATAACTCCTATGGGCAAGGGTTATGGAGGAAAATCTGAATGAAAAGCAAACATCCATGTGACTTAGAGTCATGTCCTGGGAGTCCTCAACCTAATTTGCAAATCCATGGGCTCAGGATTGCAAGCCCATGCACCCATCCCAGCATCCCTAAGTAAGAAGGAAAAAGGGAAAAGAGAAAGGTGAAACAGAACTATTCTCTTTTGTTTCTGAAACCATGAAAAAGTAACTACAGACCCCATCAACATGAAAAGGAAAATGGAAAATGTGACTCTTGACAGAAGCAAACGTTGCCCCTCCTGCCTTCATCTCATGTAAACAAACATATCTAGACTGCAAAATGAGAAGAGGGGCTATTTCAGGATCAAGGTTATTAATTTGGTCTTTTTTATTTTCCCCTACCCATCCAAATAGGTGTAAATTAGGACAAAAGTTGGAAACTTTTAGCCCTTCCAAGCTACCAATCAAGTCCCATTAATGAAAGACTGTACATATGGCAAGCCAGGTTGTCACATTTTTGTTAGTAATCTTGCAGATGCAACCATTTTATCAGAGAGTTCTATGCCAATACTAATCTATGTTATACTTAATCCCATTTATGGGCTGGAAATAGTATGGGAAAATACACTGATTTGGTATGATTTATTCTAAAGTAAAGTACCAAAGGCCACTTCAAACCAACTTTGGCCAACATTATTTCATCACAGATGCACTGAAATTATTTTTGCTTTCCCAGGGCCATGATCTGTATTTTACTTGCCTTGCAAACTGTTATTAAACAATTGTTTCTGACAGTTTAAATGCAAACAGCAAGGCTGTAGTAACCAGCAATGGTAAAATATATTACTAATGCAATGTCAAAAGCAAAGGGTTGACAGTATTTTATTGGAAACATAACTATCATTTAAGCAAGAAACATTTCAGTGGCAGAGGAAAAGACACAAGGGTTTCATCATGAGGCAAAGAAAATTCTTTTTATCCACATTCAACTGCTGATTCAGATTCACATGCATATGCACACACACATATACATCATGCTCTTTGTGGGGCGGGGGGCAGGGGGAAGAAGTGGAAAGAAAAGACACTGCTGATGTGATATTGTACTTTAGAGTCTGTCGGGGTAGTTATGTGCCATAGAATCATAGAATCACAGAATCAAAGAGTTGGAAGAGACCTCATGGGCCATCCAGTCCAACCCCCTGCCAAGAAGCAGGAATATTGCATTCAAATCACCCCTGACAGATGGCCATCCAGCCTCTGTTTAAAAGCTTCCAAAGAAGGAGCCTCCACCACACTCCGGGGCAGAGAGTTCCACTGCTGAACGGCTCTCACAGTCAGGAAGTTCTTCCTCATGTTCAGATGGAATCTCCTCTCTTGTAGTTTGTAGCCATCTTGTAGCCATCTGTATATTAGCAATGTATCCATGTCAAGATGTAGTTAAAGCCACTTGATAAAGCTGTAGATAACCTGGTCTTCCTATCTCCGCAAGTATTCAAAAGATTACACTTTGCTTCCAATTATGTATATGTCAACAGAGAATCAAGGACAATATGAACAACAAGGGAGGAATCAGAAAGAATGCCCCTACATGTCAATACTTTAATGCACAAAGCTCAATATATAAACAAGATGAACTTGAACTTCTAACACAAGAAGCCTTACTGAATCCTTGGTTGGATGAGTCTCAGGATTTGAACAGATGATAGATGAGTATAACCTATTCTAAAGTAAGATACAAAATAAGGAAAGAAGGGACAATGGCATTTTATTAGGATGTGCAAAATTCCGTTGGTCAATTCAGATTTCGGATAATTTCAGAGAACCGGCAGCTGAGCCACCAGAAACGGACAGGGAAAGACTCCTTTAGAACCTACGCTGAACAAAAAATGGGCCGCCTAATCTTTCTTATAAAAATTCAGGAAGGATTTGTTGATTTTGAGTTATTTTTCACATTAGTATTTTGACTGTTTGTTTTGCAAGCACAAGCAGCAATCTCTCCATAGTGGGGGCAATGGGGCTGAGTGGCGAGCACAGCCACACTTGCTGCATCACATTCCTCAGACAATCACAGGCCTGATTCAGTCAATTGTCCTACAAGTGTGGTAAGTTTCATCTTGATATCCATAAACTTGAAGAAAAAACGACCACCACCCCCCCCCCCCCCCCCCCCCCCCCCGGAATGTTCCTGAACACAGGCAGGTGCACCGTGTTTCCCAGCCAATCACAAGCCTGGTTCTATCAATTCTCCTCCCCTCTTGTGGTGCGAGCTAATTTAGACTTCAAATCCAGAAACTCCTCTTATGTTTTTTAAAAAATGTTACTTGTAAAAACATTTTTTTAATTCCCAAAATCAGTGGATTAGTCAAAGTTTTGAAACCTGACAGGCTTGCATTTGTAAATGTGGCATACAAGTGTGGCAAGTTTCCTTCTGATAGCCAGAAAAAAATCAAGTCTCTAAGGATGGGACAAGGTGCTTAAATTGGAAAATTTCCCCCCAAATCAGTGGACGAGTAGGTCTTTTGGACACTTGGCAGGAAGTATGCTCTACTCCTGTTCCGTTGCTGTGGAAAACTTCTAGGGGGTAGGAAAAAAATGGTTATTTGTAAAAAGAAATAATAACATTTCCCCAAAATCTTTGAATTAGTGAATAGGGGTGTGCAAAATTTCATTTTTGTGCACTGGATTTGAATGTTTAGGTGAATTGGGTTGCCAAATGCATGAAAATTAGCTTGGCGTGGGGCAGCTGAATCTTTTTGGCTAATGGGGGCTAATAATGAGGACCAATGGAGCTGAGCGGCATTCTCCCTGAGGTGGCAGCATGTGGGCAAGGCAACATCATTAATCAGGAGAGCTGCTCCTCCCTCCATACGTTCCCGAAGGTCCTCCTCCTATTCCCGCTTGAAGCAAATGGGAACTCGTATTAAGCATGGCATAAGCATTGAAGGAGTCTTGTGCTCTCTTCCAGGGCATGATGGGAATTGAGGTTTCTCTCTATCTGTGTTTCTCACTTTCTTTCTCAGCCAATCAGAGGACTGTTTGACTATGTCTATCCATTTTCCTCCCCTCTTGTGGCGTGTGATAGGGACTTCAATTCCCAGAACCCCTCTTGTGGGTTTTTTAAAAAATGTTATGGTAAAAACTCTAAAAATATCAGAAAACTACTGGATGGGCGAAATGCCCTGAAATTAGGAAGGCTTGCAGTAGAAGATGTGGCCTATAAATGAGGTGAGTTTCATTCTAATGATGGAGACATGAGCCTCTAACTTTTCTTCATTGGCGCTAATTGATCGAATTTTTCCAGCATGAAAAGAGAAACCCCTCCTGAATTTGGGAAGTACCCTAAAAATGGAATGGGGGGGGAGGGGCTGAAAACCGGACACCAAGAACAGCATGTATTTTTACCAATCGGCACATCCCTATTAGGGAAGTGATTTGACACTTGGCAGGCTTGCAACCATAAAGGTGTCCTGGCAAGTTTTCATCTTGATAGACATAAAAAATGACAGAAAGTTGAGTCTCGCAAGTTCCCCCTTTGAAAGACGAGTTTTGCAAGTTCCTTCTTTGGACCAAATTTTACCAAAATGAAAATGGAACTTTGGGTTCTGAATTACGAATCTGAAACCCCTCTCCTGAATCTCCTGAATTGTCCCAAAATCAGAACTGGAGGGGGGAGGGGGATATCCAAAAACAGTTCTAAAAACAGAATGGATTTCTGCCATTTTGCACACCCCTACATTATATGTCAAGGATGTGCTTACCTGTGAGAAGTTCAATGACTTAGATCATGTGAAACATACTGAGAACATCTAGGTAAATGACAAGGAAAGCAGCTAGGGGAACAACAATTGCACTGCTGTGGAAATCAACT